AACCTAAACCTCCCCTGGCAGAGCTTGAGTCTGTGCCCTCTTGTCCTACTGCTAGTTGCCTGGGAGAAGAGACCAACCCCCACCTGACTACAACCTCCTTTCAGGGAGTTGTAGAGGGCAATAAGGTCACCCCTGAGCCTCCTCTTCTCCAGACTAAACAACCCCAACTCCCTTAGCCTCTCCTCATAGCACTTGTGCTCCAGTCCCTTCACCAGCCTCGTTGCTCTTCTCTGGACCCGCTCCAGCACCTCAATATCCTTCCTGAGCTGAGGGGTCCAGAACTGCACAGTACACAAGGTGTGGCCTCCCCAGCACCAAGTACAGAGGCAGAATCACCTCCCTGGTCCTGCTGATCACACTGTTCCTGATCCAGCCCAGGATGCCATTGGCCTTCTTGGCCACCTTAGGGCACACTCTGACAGCACAAATTCACTCTACCAATATGGAACTAACTCGAGCTTTTGTAATCCAATATTTACCTTTCATTTAACCATGAGTCCCTGTATTTAAGCTATCTGGATTTCAGGGACTATCCCAGTCCAATACTAGATAGACTCAGGACATTTTGCTTCATCTACACTGAAGTCAAGCAAATGGCCTTACTTGAGCCCATTTCCCTCAAAATTTCCATCCCAAAAGACAGAAAGTTTACATGAAAAATGTATTTTCAGTGTTCCTGAGTAAGTATAGGAGAGAAAGTGACAATGCAATCATTCTGTTCCTTGTGTGGTACTTACAGAATCATCACAAAACCATAGAATGGGTTGGGTTGGAAGGAACCTTAAAGACCATCTAATTCCAAGCCCCTTGCCATGGGCAGGGACACCTTCACTACACCAGGTTGTTCAGGGCCCCATCCAACCTGGTCTTGAACGTTTCCAGGGATGGGGCATCCAGAGCTCTGGGTAACCTGTTCTAGTGCCTCACCTCTCTCATAGTGAAGAATTTATTTGTAATATCTAATATGAATCTTCTCCCTTTCAGTTTAAAGCCATCCCCCCTTGTCCTATCACTGCCTGCTCTTGTTTAAACTCCCTCTCCAGCTTTCTTGTAGGTCCCTTTGGGTACTAGAATGTGCTGTAAGGTCTCCCAGAAACCTTCTCTTCTCCAGGCTGAACAACCCTCAGCCTTTCTTCATAGGAGAGGTGCTCCAACACTCCAATCACCTTGGTGGCCTTATCTGGACTCACTTCAACAGGTGCATGTCCTTCTTATGTTGGGGGCTCAAGAGCTGGTTACAGTTCAGAGTCTCACTAGAATGGACTAGAGGGGCAGAATCACCTCTCTCGACCTGCTGGCCACCTTTCTTTTGATGCCACTCAGGATACGGTTGGCTGTCTGGGCTGCAAGCACATATTTCCAGGTCATGTTATGCTTCTCATCAACCAGCACCCCCAAGTCCTTCTCCTCAGGGATGCTCTCAGTCCATTCTGCACCCAGCCTTGCAACTGTGCTGGGACTTCCCTGACCCAGGTGTAACACCTTGCACTTGGCCTCGTTGAACTTCACAAGGTTTGAATCAGCACACCCCTTGGGCCTGGCAAGGTCCCTCTGGATGGCATCCAACAAAGTACAACAGAGCTTGTGGCTATTAAACAATGCATGGGTGAACCCCCCCCCCCAGATTCTGAAAATATCTTATTTTGGTCTTGTGTTTAAGATCAATTTAGAATGTAAATTCATCATGTTGGTGACCTTTTATGTTTTGTCTTCAAACTGGGATGTAATGCTAGAAATATTCTCATAAGCTTTTGCTTTTTTTCTTGCAATATTGAGTGGCTGTGCCTTCTAAAATGCAACCCAGTTCTATTCCACTCAGAGGAGGTGGCAATTGTGCCAGCTGTATACAGAACTTCTCTGATATAAACAGTGTTCCTTCCCAGGTTCCCAGCTCCTTCATAACCTCTTAAAAATTAGCACTGTTCCAGGGACAGCCAAAATGCTTTGCAGCCAACAACTGCTTTACAATTTAATTGAAAGCTTTTATAATACTCTAAACCTCTTTCAGTTTCTATGATAAAATGAGACCTGAATTAACAGCAGTAAGGGAGAAAAGATTCCTTCAATTTCTGTTTTGTCCTTGGAAACAAGGAAATCAGAAGTACTTTCCTCTCACAAAAAGATTGTTGCTAGCTGAGAAAGCTGAGTCAAATGGAAAGAGAAATTCTTGTTGGCATGAACTGGAACATTGTCCTTTCAATTTAATGAAAATTCTGTCACACACTAAAAATGGAAAGTTAATTGTCTGAAAGATTAGAAAATGAATGGGATGAATAACTGGGCTTTACTTAAGAACCAAACATCAAAAAGCTCTGCAAACTCATAATCCCCAGGGATATTTAACCAATGGAATAATATTCCACACATAAAGAAGTTTTACATATGCTCCTTATTTTGGAATTCAAAAGTGATTACTGTTGAGGTTTTTCATTTTCTTTAGAAACCTTCAAACTTCCTTACATAAAAAAAAATCTGATTTCAATTACCCAGAGGTTTTTTTTTACTTTAAGGCTATTTTGCTTTTTTACTCATTTCAATCATTTCTATTGTAAGACTATTAAACACAGTCCTACATAGCATGTTATCAAATTTGTGTAGTTTCTTCCTAAAAAATTGTTCAGTTACAATCATTTACAATAACAGAGTTCACTGATAGTCTCAATAACTCTGTGTCCATTGTATATACAATAATTCATTTTTATCTTTCCTTATTCTTCTGATTGTCACTCTGCAGTCAATACACTGATTTCACAACTGGAGTGAGGGGAGGGCAAGGTACATAAATGACCTTAGTGTTTCTTCAAATGATCTATATGATAAAT